TCTGAAGGACAACATCTCCAACAATGCAGCACTGCACTGGGGTGTCAGCCTCGACTGTGTGTGTTATAATAATAATAATAATTCCTGCATTTGATACAGCGCCGTATCATATCTTCAAGTCGTCTCAAAGTGCTTCGCAGAATAAAGTGAATTGACTATATTTTGTGGTGAAACACGGCAGCCAATTGTGCACAGCGACGTCCCACAAACAGTCGTGGATTGAAATGGCCAATTTATTATTATTAATTTTAAGGAATTTTTGAAGCAAATCCTGATGTGGAGTTTGAACCCACAACCTTGTGACTGGAGCTGAGAGTGTCACCAACTGAGACAGGAGGACACTGTTGCCCCTCACTTGGGACTATTGATTCTATCGCTTGAGACTTCTTAGTGATTAGTAATAAAGTCCAGTGCAATGCTAAATACACTATAATCTCACCAATAGCTTTATTTAGAGGAGGTTTGGCTTTGTTTATTCAGATCGTGTGGTTATTGATGTAAATCTGACTCATAAAATACAACATGATAGTGAATGTCGTGGGTTTCTTGACTTTGAGTCTCCAGATAAAAACTCTTATTTCACAGCATTTAAATGTCCAATAGATGTTCTGGTATTGACCGGTGATCAGCACTGAAGTGTCACTGTGTGGAAGAGCTGTAGCTCACCTTCTAAACCCTCCACGGCATTGCTCCTCCCTCCCTCTGGGACCTCCTAACCCCCTACCAACTGTCCCTTCCCTCCGCTCAGGGGTCCGGGTGCTTCACGTCCCACCCTGTCCGCCCCTCCATCGGGCCTTCAACCTTCCTTCAGCCTCTGCCCCCACCCGTCTTCATTTTGTTTCCTCCACCCCCCGCACTGTCTCGTCTGGTGTCCCTCAGGGCTCTGTCCTCGGTCCCCTCCTCTTCACCCTCTATACGCTCCCCCTGTGGTGACACCATCCGCAGACATGGGTTCACTCCCACTGTGTGCGGATGACACCCAACTCTCCGTTCCTCCTCTACCCTCAACTCCACGACCCCCGATGTCCTGACAGCTGTCGTCCGACATCGAGTCCTGGACGAGAGACAACTTTCTTCAGCTCAACGTGCGCAAAACTGAGCCCTCCTGATTGGCTCACGTCAGCGCCTCCGCACCTCAGGCACTGACAGCATCAGCATCGAGGCTGCACTCTCCACCTCTCAAAGTCATCAGGAACCTCGGGTTCCCTCGCCTGAGCTGTCCTTTCTCCCTCCATCCGCACCCACCTGGCACCGCCTCCATCACCTCCGGAACATACCGGACTACGGCACTACCTCACCCCTCACGCGCTGAAACTCTGGTCCACACCTTTATCACCTCAAGGCCGGACTATGGAACTCTCTCCTCTCGGCCTTCCCGGCCTCCCTCCACACTGCAGGTCATTCAAACCTGCAGTTACGTCCCCACACCCCACTTCCACCCTCGCCCTCGCACCTCCCCCTCACCCTCCTCGCCCTCGCCTCACTCCCCCCTCCCCTCGCCTCACCTCGCCCGCGCGCGCCCCACTGGCTCCCATCCCCCAGAGGACCGAATTCAAGATCCTCATCCTCACCTACAAGGCATTCCCGGCCTCGCTCCTCCTCCTCTCTGACCTCTATCCCCCATGTACCTGCCCGTATCCTCCGTTCCTCCGGCTCTGGTCTGCTCCACATCCCCGCCCCCAACCGCCGACCATCGGTGGCCTTCAGCCTCTCAGCCCGAGGCTCTGGAACTCCATCCCCAGTCCCTCGCATTCCTCCCTTCCTCTTCAAGGCCGGTCTCAAGGCCTTTCTCTTTGACCGTACCTTCAGCTCACTCTCGACTCTCTACCCCTCCTCGCTCCCTCCCTTCCCTCCCCTCACCTGACCATTTCCCCCTTCTCTCCCTCCTTCCCTTCCCTCTCCTCACCCTGATCATTTCCCACTCCTCACTCCCCTTCCCCCCACCTGATCATTTCCCCCCAATGCTCGGGTCCGACCCAACTGTATAGCGCTTTGGGACGTCCTCCCGACGTGAAAGGCGCTCTATAAATGGAATCTTGTTGTTGTTGTTGGTGTATGGCTCTCCATCCACAGTCCTTCACCTCCCCCTCTCCTTTACCTCCTTCAAGACTCGGCTCAAATCCCTCCTCTTCAACCAATCTCCTTCAGTCACCCTCCTCCCCACCCTCCCCACCTCCACCCCTCCTGATCCCAAACCCTCCTCCCCACCCCCACTCGGGTCCAAATCCCTGACTGTCCAGCGCCTTGGGACGTCCTCCCGCCGTGAAACTCGCTGTGTAAATGTCATTTGTTGATAATAATAATAATAATAATCCTTGCAGTTGATATAGCGCCTTATCACGTCTTCTCGACGTCTCAAAGCACTTCACAGAATATACTGTAAAGTATTTGTGGTGAAACACGGCGCCAATTGCGCACAGCGACGTCCCACAAACAGTCGTAGTTTAAGTGACCAAAATTATTATTATTTTGAAGAAATTATTGACGCCAGAAAAGTGATCCGCCAATGGACTAAGACCGGCTTCATACTTACTGCTGATAAACAGAGGTGTGTGGAGTAAGGAAACTTGCACAGTGATTGCCCGGCCCGGGATTCAAACCCTGGTCCTCTCCGTGTGAGGTGAGCGCTCTCACCACTGAGCTACAGGGCTCAAGGTTGAAGACGGCAAAACACAAAGGATATGTTCCCGGCACCCCAGGTGTTCCCGCCCCAGGGTGTTCCCGGCACCCCAGGTGTTCCCGCGGCACCCCAGGATGTTCCCGGCACCCCAGGTGTTCCGGCACCCCAGGGTGTTTCCAGCCCCAGGGCGTTCCCGGCACCCCGGGCGTTCCCGGCACCCAGGGCGTTCCCGGCACCCCAGGGTGTTCCCGGCACCCAGGGTGTTCCCAGTTTGCTCCAAGTACACCAGCAACACTCCCAGTGGGTAATGGGTTGTAAGCACAACAAATAGATTACGAGCTCAGGACTGGGATCTCACTGGTCCAACACCACACACTCTTCCTGTAGCCCCACACTCCGCTGTGGGTTGGCTCCAGCTCCCCCCACCCCCACTGCATAGCATTGCACAGTCCATATGGGGCCCAGATTCACTCCCTGTGTCAAAGGTCCAAGTCAAGTTTGGTTTGGGCTGAGAACAAAGTTCATTAATAAGGAATAAATAACAAAGCCACTCACTGGCTCAGTGCAAAGGAACTTTTCATCAGAAAGGACAAAGGGCATTTTAGCTGCTCCCAAGAGGTTACTGCAGCCCAGCGCCAATGGCTTGTCAGCTCAGGGCAAAAGGACACTGTTAGCCCAGGGCTGGGCAGTGCCCACCACACTGTTAGCCCAGGGCTGGGCAGTCCCACCACACTGTTAGCCCAGGGCTGGGCAGTGCCCCCACACTGTTAGCCCAGGGCTGGGCAGTGCCCACCACACTGTTAGCCCAGGGCTGGGCAGTGCCCACCACACTGTTAGCCCAGGGCTGGGCAGTGCCCACCACACTGTTAGCCCAGGGCTGGGCAGTGCCCACCACACTGTTAGCCCAGGGCTGGGCAGTGCCCACCACACTGTTAGCCCAGGGCTGGGCAGTGCCCACCACTGTTAGCCCAGGGCTGGGCAGTGCCCCCACACTGTTAGCCCAGGGCTGGCAGTGCCCACCACACTGTTAGCCCAGGGCTGGGCAGTGCCCACCACACTGTTAGCCCAGGGCTGGGCAGTGCCCACCACACTGTTAGCCCAGGGCTGGGCAGTGCCCACCACACTGTTAGCCCAGGGCTGGGCAGTGCCCACCACACTGTTAGCCCAGGGCTGGGCAGTGCCCACCACACTGTACGCCCAGTGACGAGCAGGACTGGCACAGTCTTCTTACAGCTTTACTTGATGGTGTTTTATTTGCCAATCTCTGGCTGAGCTGTGATCATATTCTGCTCAGTGTGACTGAAAATCTCACATCTTCAAGACATCACAAAGCGCTTCACACAATACACTATAAAGTGTAATGACTGTGTGTTTTGTGGACGAATTGCGGCAGATATTACGCTCAGCGACTTCCCCACAAACATTCGTCGATTAAAGTGACCAATTCTTATTCTTTTTTGAAGGAATTATTACTATTACCCCCAGAAAAGCGATCCGTCAATCGACTACCAACCGGATCCTACTCACTACAAGGCAAACAGTGACGTGTGGAGTAAGGAAACTTGCCCAACGTTTCTCCCTGTCCCACCCGGGAATCGAACCCAGATCCTCTCGTTTGCCGGGCGAGGGGTCTACCCACTGAGCTACAGGATCATCACTATCATGGCTTCTCTGCTGAAAGATCACTGCTGGAGCTTTCTTGGATTCCTTATTTGGTAGATTTATCTGCACTCATTTACACAGTCAGGAAACTGTCTCTCTATCACACACTAAACCCTGTACCCCATCACCCACCCCGGCCCTCGCCCTCGCCCTCGCCCTCGCCAGGCCCCACTGGCTCCCTATCACACGCTAAACCCTGTACCCCATCACCCCCGCCCTCGCCAGGCCCCACTGGGTCCCTATCACACACTAAACCCTGTACCCCATCACCCACCCCGGCCCTCGCCCTCGCCCTCGCCCTCGCCCGGCCCCACTGGCTCCCTATCACACACTAAACCCTGTACCCATCACTCCGGCCCTCTCCAGGCTCTGTGTTAGGCTGAGAATTCTGTGCATCCCACCTACACATGGAAATTCCCAGAGATGGATTGACTGAATGGCCTCCTTCTGTGCTGTAAATGTCTCTGGGTCTCTGGTGTCTATATAGAGCCTTTCACGTCAGGAGGACATCCCAAAGTGTTGGTTGGGCGCCTGAGCTGAAGGGATGAGATCAGACGGCCAAAAGGCCTTTGTTGATCCAAACTAATCTTGTGATCTTGTGATCTTGTGATCGGCACAAAATGTTTAGACTTTTACCCCTCAATATTCCCTCTTGAAGCAGCTGATTGTCACTGTGTAACAGCGCTGCTCTGACAGACGGTGGGGCTGTTGCTCACTGTAACGTTGATGGAATAATTGAGTGGTGTCATTGGGAATCACAGGGAAACAGTCATTCACATTTGATTTCTAACCCGGAGTTTCTATGTCGATTAATGACATGAAGCCCTTTGTTGGGCAGTCAGGCGGCTGTCATTCACCTCATGGTGTTGGTCCTTCACTTCACGGCTGTTTGTGGGACGTCGCTGAGTCTCAATTAGCTCCCACGTTCGCCTACTAAATACACAGTCACTACACTTTACAGTGACAAATCCTGTGAAACACTTTGAGATGTTCTCCTGACATGAAAGGCTGTGCCAAGTGCAAGGTTTATGATCACATTATCCACCACTGTTTGTGGGACACTGAGTTCCCCAATTGACTGCCGCTTTTCGCCCACAAAACAGTACAACGATAATTTGTGTCTATAGTTGTTGGGATCTGAAAGCGTTTCCTGAAAGGCCGATGGAAACCGATCCGATAACAACTTTCAAGAGACAAGTAGATCGGTATTTGGGGAGGACAAATTTGCAGGACGAAAGGGAGAGAGCGAGGGAGTGGGGTTGATCAGGGCTGTGGGGAGAGGGGAGTGGGGTTGATCAGGGCTGTGGGGAGAGGGGAGTGGGGTTGATCAGGGCTGTGGGGAGAGGGGAGTGGGGTTGATCGGGGCTGTGGGGAGAGTGGGGGAGTGGGGTTGATCAGGGCTGTGGGGAGAGGGGAGTGGGGTTGACTTTGAAGCTCTTTCAAAGAACGGTCACAGACGCGATGGGCTGAATGGCTGTATAAAGCCATGATTCTATGATTCTATGATTGCGCCTTCACATGGGGTTGGGTTCTGCAGCACTTTGAGTCGTCTTGAAGACGTGATAAGGCACTGTATCGAATGTCAGGTTATTATTGTTATTATTCTGTGTATTTTATATTTTAAAACGAGACGAACAAAGATCCAAACGGCTGCGGTGTTGCTGTCCGGCAGCTCACAATGTCCCGGCTCCTGGGCTTTGGGCAAACCCTGTTCTGACTTGAAATGCCCAAACCATTTCATATCACCGACCAGGAACCACACTGCAGTGACTCCCGACCACTCCCTACTTCCTATTTGCTCAATAAGTGCAGAGCTGAGAGAAGAGAAAGCTCTACTGACTGACGGAGTGTAACCAGCACCGGCTGCTCAGTGACTGAGTGACCAGGACACCGGCTGCTCAGTGACTGAGTGACCAGGACACAGGCTGCTCAGTGACTGAGTGACCAGGACACCGGCTGCTCAGTGACTGAGTGACCAGGACACCGGCTGCTCAGTGACTGAGTGACCAGGACACCGGCTGCTCAGTGACTGAGTGACCAGGACACCGGCTGCTCAGTGACTGAGTGACCAGGACACAGGCTGCTCAGTGACTGAGTGACCAGGACACCGGCTGCTCAGTGACTGAGTGACCAGGACACCGGCTGCTCAGTGACTGAGTGACCAGGACACCGGCTGCTCAGTGACTGAGTGACCAGGACATAGGCTGAGGTCAGGATGCAGACAGCACGACTCGGGGTAGTTGCTCTTTGCTGCTGTGTGTGTGTGGGTGAGTCTCACTTTCTCACTCGCTCTCAGTTGGGAGTTTATTTAAGATGATCTAACGATAGAGACAGGAGAACTTGCTCACCGCGTCCCTACAAGAGATGCCGTCAGTCAGGACGGACTGTGTCGATGTGTATTCAGCCGATGTCTCGCTGTCCTTAATGGGATTTTCTCTCTCTCCAGTTACAGCACAGTTCACCATCACTGTACCAGACAATCCCATTACAGCAGCAGCCGGAGGTACGGCTGTGTTTACAGTGAAACCGTCTGGTGAGGTGGGGAGCGGGAGCTGGAGTTTCGATGGCAGGAATGTACTTCTGTGGGTCGGGGATAGCGTATCTGTAAACTCTAATTACCAAGGCCGGGCTGAGTTATCTCTCCCCGACGTGTCTCTTCGGCTGAAATCAGTGACAGTGACCGACCGTGGAAATTACACTGTGACTTTGACCTCAGTCTCTGGCGATTCAAAATCAGCGACAGTCACCCTGAAGGTGGAGGGTAAGTAACAGTTACAGTTAACAATAACCTGTCTGTGTACCACTCCTGTCCCGGGTTATTGGCCACTAACCTCGTCACCAGTTTGGGGAGAAAATTAAAATGAATATCTTCACACAAAATGTTTTATATCCGGACAAATGGACAATCTGCTCCCGATCTGATGGTTCCATTTCATGTCACTGAGCTGCTTAAAGCAGAGAAATAGTGTTTCTACCCTATAGATATACAGTATGGGCTGTTTTCCTATGTTCTCTCTCGTGTCCTGAAGGCACTTAACTATTCTACTGGAATACAGTTTCATAACCACTTGTGATCACTTGTACCTCACCCGAGTAGAACATTATTCATGAATTCATAGCACATTCCCCCCAAAACTGGAGGACATGGATTTGATTGTTTGACGGGGCAAAACTTTAGGTCACTTGACCACATATACACACACACACACACACACACACGCCTCTGTTTACTGAGCAGTAAGTAGGAACCCGCCTGTTGGTCGATTGGCGAATCGCTTTCCAGATTACTAATCCCTCTCCCTCCCAAAAAACTGGTAACGACTGTTTGTTGGACACTGTTGTGGAAATTGACTTCTGTGTTTCACCCACAAAATACCCCGTAGATTTACTTTACAGTGTATCCTGTCAAGAACAATGACATGATAAGGCGCTGTATCAAATGCAAGGATTATTATTATGAACAAAACAGTAAAACACAGTATTTGTCCATCCTCCACTACTGCTCAGAGAATATTACAGCACATAAGGAGACCATTTGGCCCACGTTGTCCTAATGTTATACTAAAAAATAATAAGCCCTACATTTAATATAATATCTTATCACGTCATTGAGGCATTTCAAAATGCTTCATAGGAATTCTTGTAAAGTGTGGTGACTGTGTATTTGTCGGTATGTGTCAGCCACCCGGGTCCTCTCGCTCGCGAGGGGAGTGCTCTAACCACTGAGCTACAGGACTTGAGCACGAGTTGATTAGGAGTATTTACAATAGAGATTTACACTAACACACACAGAGGAAGGGGATTGGAGAGTTAGAGAGGAGAACTGGGATGAGGATGGATGGCTTATTGGAGAAGAAAGAAACTGACATAAAAACAATGGACTGAATGGCTTCATAGAGTATTCAACATCTCTATGTGATCAGAAGGTTGTGAGATTAATCCTCACGTCAGGATTTACAGTCGAGGCTGACACTGCGATTTACTATTTACTATCCAAACACGGAGGTGGTGCCAATGTCCAGTTTAATCCTTTCAGAATATCAGCTCTTTATCTTCCCCACATCGTTTCTTAAAACAATCCCATCACCGAACTTCAAAACCTTTCCTCCGCTCCACCCTCGGCGGCCGTGCCTTCAGCCACTGTGCCCCGAGGATCTGGAACTGCCTTCCTCACTCCCTTCGTCTCCCTTCGTCTCTCATTTCAGGAGTTTATCTCAAAGTGGATTTACTGTGACTTGTTTTGACGGTATGTGTTAAGCACTCCGAAACGCTACCCTGTGTGAAGAGCAGGAAAGTTGTTGCTCACGGTCTTGCTGATTAATAAAGATGATATGGACAGTTATTGGTTACAATAATTGGTTACAAGTACTGTTTTGGAATATTTTATATTGACACCAGAATCATATTGTAAATGCTGTAAATGCAGAAAGTACACATTTGGTTGGGATGAAAAACATAAGAATCTATTTCTTTTGGATGACATTTTCAAAATCATGAGGGGATTCAAAATAGTCTCTAAAAGAAGCCGAGGGGAGGTGAGAAGAAATGTTTTCACGCAGCGAGTTGTTCGAATCTGTAACGCATTGCCTGAAAGGGCGGTCGAGGCCGATTCGATAACTACTTTTAAAAACGCGGTGGACGGGTATTTGAGGAGGAGGGGTTTGCAGGTTATGGGGAAAGGGCCGGGAGTGGGATTGACATTAATTGCTCTTTTCAAAGAGCTGCACAGACTCGATGGGCTGAATGGCCTCTTTTTGTGCTGTACGATTCTATGATTCTATGATGAGCCGTGTTGTTGAACTCAGGAACAAACCGATCACTGAGGTTTCATGGCCAAATCACTTGATGGCCTGAGACCTCTCCAACTTCCTCACACCTCTTCCCAGCCCTTTCGCTTGGTTTGCTCAGGCCTTGTGCACATCCCCTGACCCTCTGCTCCACCTTCAGCCACTTTGCCCTGAGCCCCAGGAACTCCCGGCCTCACCCTCTCCGCCCCTTGCTCCTCTTTCCTCTTTACACCAAGCGCTCCGGGACGCTTCCCCACGTGAGGAGCGCTGTACCAATGCAAGTTGTTGTTGTTGTTAATCGTCTTCAAATCCCACCTGAAGGCTTTCCTCTTTGACGGTGTCTACGGTCCACTCCCCTTTCTCCCCGTCTCAGCCCCAAACTCTGCCAACGCTGAGACACTGCCCCACAGGAAAGTCACTGTATAAATGCAAGTTGTTGTTGCTGATGTTTTAACTGATTTGAGATTCCAACAAACTGTTGTATTTTACACAGAATGTGATGTACAGAATGTAAATACTCTCCTGTGTTTTGACAGAATCTGTTTCCAATATTGTTGTTACCCCCAATGTCACGCAGTCAGTAGAATATAATGACACTGTGGGGCTGACGTGCACTGCATCAGGGACAGACGTGTCATATCAATGGTTGAAAGACAATAAAACTATCAGCTCTGACAACAGGACTGTCCTAAGTCTGGATAACAAACCCCTGACTATAGCTCTCCAGCTATACTGAGGGCTGACAGTGGGAATTACACGCACTCGGCCTACAACGCCCACAAACTATACAGTCAATGCACTTTCTCACCGACGTGTCTCTTCGGCTGAAATCAGTGACAGAGACGGACTCTGGAAATTACACTGTGAGTTTGACCCCAGTCTCAGGCCATTTAAAAACAGCGACAATGTAGTAACAGTCACAGTTAACAATAACCTGTCTGTGTACCACTCCTGTCTCAGGTTATTGGCCACTAACCTCGTCACCAGTTTAGGGAGAAAATTAAAATGAATATCTTCACACAAAATGTTTTATATCCGGACAAATGGACAATCTGCTCCCGATCTGATGGTTCCATTTCATGTCACTGAGCTGCTTAAAGCAGAGAAATAGTGTTTCTACCCTATAGATATACAGTATGGGCTGTTTTCCTATTTTCTCTCTCGTGTCCTGAAAGCATTTACCATTCTATTGAAATTGCATAACCACATGTGGCCACTTGTATGTTGAATAATTAGCCATTAATCGTGATTTGATAGCACACTCACCTCACAAGGGAGAGGACCTGGGTTTGATTCCCAGGCGGGTCAGGTCAGGGCAAAATCTTAGGCAGGTTTCCTTACTCCACAAACACTTACACACCACACAGACACACACACCGACACACACACACACACATCTCTGTTTACCCACCAGTAAGTTGGAACCCACTTGGTAGTTGATTGTCGGATCGGTTTCTGGGGGTAATAATCCTCCCCCACAAAAAAATAATTGGTCACTAAATCCATGACTGTTTGTGGACACTGCTGTGCGCAATTGGTTGCTACGTTTCAGCCACAAATATTACTATGAATAATAATAATCCTTGCATTTGGTTTAGCGCCTTTCACGTCAGGAGGACGTCCCAAAGAGTTTCCCGGGATAAGCCGCCTGGTACTGGGGATGAGGGTGTGAGCTGAGAGGCTGGGAGGGGGGAAGCCTTGTCAGAGAGTTAGTGTAGAGGTGATCTGGAAAGAGGGATCACACTGCTGATCACACTGCGCTATGAGGCAGATTACAGTGTTATGGACTCCAGCAATGCCTTCTGATGGGGTTAGAATTCTCCTGATAAAGGTCCGCTGTGTCAGTCCTTGGGTATGTGGCAAACAGATCATGATACTGTAATCATCCTTGTATTTGATACAGTGCCTTATCACGTCTTCGAGACGTCTCAAAGCGCTTCACAGAATATACTGAAAAGTGTAGTGACTGAATATTTTGTAGGGGAAATACGGCAGCCAAATGCGCACAGCAGTGTCCCACAAACAGTCATGGATTGAAGTGACCAAATTATTAGTATTTTTTTTGAAGGAATTATTACCCCCGGAAAATTGATCCACCGATCGACTAACAACCGGGTTTCTACTCACTGATGGATAAACAGAGGTGTGTGAGTGTGTGTGGAGTCAGGAAACTGCCCAACATTTTATAACCATATTATATATTATAACAGGACCCCCTTAAAGAGAATTGCACAATGAGCTACAGCACTATTAAAACAGAACAGAAACCAAAAGAATAACTGTCAAAAAGTTCAGCATAACAACTGGTTTATAATTGTATGATTCTATTATCATTCTATTTACAGAGAAAATCACCAGCGTCACCGTAACACAGAACATTCCCAACCCGATAGAATACACTGACAATGTGACACTGACATGTGATGTTAAAGGCACTGTTGAGTCACGGTTGTGGTTTAAGGATGAGAGAGCTCTCCACAGCAATGACAGGATCACAATCTCCCAGGATAATGCCACCCTGACCATCATCAGTGTGACTAGAAATGATGGTGGAACGTATCGGTGTGAGGCAAAGAACAGCTTTAGCTCTCAGTCCGGCAGCTACACACTGAGCATTGCGTGTCAGTACTCAGCCGCCTCTCAGAATAAGGCTTCAATCTTATGCTTTACGTTCAGTGGTAATAAAGAAGCCGTTCTTGCGTCTGTTGCAGATGGACCAGACACCCCTGAGCTTACAATCACTGGGACACACTCAGCAGAACTTGGAGACTCTCTAACATTGTCTTGTTCTGCTCAGTCAAACCCAGAAGCTCAGTATAAATGGATATATAATGGCACCGTTCTGTCACACACAACTCCACAGCTCACCATTGATCAAATAAGCCCGACTGACCGTGGGAGTTACACTTGTCAGGCAGCGAGGTTTTGTAATTTAATAAGTTATGAACAGTTATCAACATCAGAAAATCTAGAATTAAGAGTGGAAGTTGAAAAGTATTTTCCATGTGATTCACAGAAGACCCCGTATGCAAATTTATATTTATATTGCCACTCTTTTATCCAGGCCCAATGATGCTCTGTCTGATTGACATGAACATACTGACATACTTGAAGAAACAAATATTAGGAGTTGATCTTGTGCTTATGTTCTGCTAACTGTGGTGGAGTTTGATTGCCTCATTGTCAGTATGGCTCAGTTTGCAGCGCTTTTGCCTCTGAATCAGACGATTGTGGGTTGAAGCCCCACATTGGAACTTGGAACCTGTATAGTCGAGGCTGTCACTGCAATGCAGTGCTGGGGTGTGATGTGTTACAACAACAACAAGATTTCATTTATAGAGCGCTTTTCACGTCGGGAGGACGTCCAAGGCGCTGGACAGTTGGGTCGGGACCCGAGCAGGGGGAGATGGTCAGGGTGAGGGGAGGGAAGGGAGGGAGCGAGGAGGGGGAAATGGTCAGGGTGAGGGGAGGGAAGGGAGCGAGGAGGGGGAGATGGTCAGGGTGAGGGGAGGGAAGGGAGGGAGCGAGGAGGGGGAAATGGTCAGGGTGAGGGGAGGGAAGGGAGGGAGCGAGGAGGGGGGAAATGGTCAGGGTGAGGGGAGGGAAGGGAGGGAGCGAGGAGGGGGTAGAGAGTCGAGAGTGGAGCTGAAGGTACGGTCGAAGAGAAAGGTCTTGAGACCGGCCTCGAAGGAGGAAAGGGAGGAAGAGGCGAAGGCACTGGGGATAGAGTTCCAGAGCCTCGGGGCTGAGAGGCTGAAGGTGGATGGTCGGGCAGTTGGGGCGGGGGATGTGGAGCAGACCGGAGCCGGAGGAGTTAGAGGTACTAACGGATGAGTCGTTAAACCAGAGTCCTGTGACTGTCCACATAGACATTAAAGATCCCACAGTACTATTGACAACAGAATGGAGTTTCTCTCTCTGAGTTTCATCGCTAACAACAAGAAGAACTTGCATTTATATAGCACCCCTCCTGTCGGGTCGCGTCTCAGAGCGCTTCCCCCAAATAAAATTGGTCATTAACTGTTCATGTGATATTGTTGAACATAAAATAGTTCCTACATTTGTCCACAAAATATCAGTGCACTTTACATTAATCCTGTGCAGCGCTTTGACACATCTCGACAACATGATAAGGTGCTATATCCAATGTAAGGATTATTAATAATTATTGTGTTGGATGATTGTGTGCCTTGGAGGAGAATGCTAAACTCCGAAAATCTGTCCACGTGCCATTTGGGTCTGTCACCACCTTTCTCTGTCTGACTATTTCCCTCTTGGTCTCCCTCTCTCTTAATCTCCCTTACTCTCTCTTGTCTATAATAATAATTGATAATAATAATCCTTGCATTTGATATAGCTCCTTATCACGTCTTTCAGACGTTTCAAAGCGCTTCACAGAATTTACTGTGAAGTGAATTGACTATATATTGTGGGCGAATTATGGCAGTGTCCCACAATCAGTCGTGGATTGAATGACCAATTTATTATTATTTTTTGAAGGAATTATTACCCTCCTTATATAATCTCCCTTACTCTCTCTTGTCTATCTCTCTGTTTCCTTCTCTCCCTCTCATCTCTTTTTTTCGCTCTCTTTCTCTCTTTCTCTCTCTCTCATCCCTTCAGTTTTCCCCTTTGTCTGTTTTCATACATTTACAGAATTGGGTTGATTCAAAATCCTTTAAACTCTAAAGGAAAATTGAGTGGATCGTAATTCATTATAATAATGAGAATAATCTTTGCATTTGATATGGCACTTTTATCACATCACCGACACATCAAAGCACTTCATAGGATACTGTGAAGTGATATAGTTGTGTGTATTTTCTGGGAAAATACGGTCACCAATTTTGCGCACAGCAATCTCCCCACCAACTGCCTCGGAGTGAGTGGCTGATTTTATTTGTAGGATTGTCGGCCAGGACACCAGGAGAAGGAACTCCATTCTATTTTCGAATAGTGGGAGTCCTGTAGCTCAGGGGTTAGAGCGCTCACCTCGCAAGTGAGAGACCGGGGTTTGATTCCCGGCAGGTGAAACGTTTCGTTACTCCACACACCGCTATTTACCTTCGCAGTAAGTAGGAACCTGGTTATTAGTCAATTGGCGGATTGCTTTTCTGGGGGTAATAATTCCTTACATTGTCCTTACAATGGCTTGAAACTACAACCTTCTGATTCATGTGTGAGAGTGCCACTAATTGAGCCGGGCTGACACACTATATTGTTCAGGGACACAAACAAATAATACATTTATCATTCAATCCATGACTGTTTGTGGGACACTGCTGTGCGCAATTGGTTGCCACGTTTCGCCCAGTGCTCTGAGACGTCTCGAAGTCATGATAAGGAGCTATATCAAATGCAAGGATTATTATTAACGTCCATCTGGACAGAAGGCAGGATTTAATGTCTCATCCGAACCTTATGTTGTTCAGTATAAGGGTCGGACGCTGGTCAGTATTAGAGACAGGTCAGTTTTAGGTCAGTCCTGTAGGGAATCCTGGAGCTCAGTGATTAGAGCACTCGCCTTGCAAGTGAGAGACCGGGGTTTGATTCCTGGAAGGGTGAAAGTGTCCTTACTCCACACGCCTGACAATAATCCCTCAAGAAAAAAAATATTATTTGGTGATTCAATGTTTGTGGGACATTGCTGTGCAAAATTGGTTGCCTCGTTTCGCCCACAAATAAACAGTCAATTCACTTTACAGTGTATTCTGTGAAGAGCTTTGAGATGTCTGGAAGACGTGAAAAGCTCTATTTCAAATGCACTGATTATTATTATTAGTCTAAGGGTTGAGTCACTATTAGTTCCTTCAGTATTATTCTTGGATCAGTATTCGGGACGGTCAGTTCGCTGAATGTGGTTATTGATTATTACAGCAAAGTGAAAAGGATTGATACCAATGAAGGAAAACATGACACGGAAACACTGAACTCTCTTTAAGGGGGTCCTGTTATAATGTAGAATTTACTTCCAAGACATTGATTGTCTTCAGCACAAGAAAGGAAGGCTTCGCACATAACAAACATGTACAGCAGCTGATGCAAACTGAAGTGGTGACCCTGAAGTTGGGCTGTTTGTGGTTCAGGAATCCAAGCAGTCACCGTCATGTCATCACTGACGAGCAGCCACTGCTGATCACACTGCGCTATGAGGCAGATTACAGTGTTATGGACTCCAGCAATGCCTTCTGATGGGGTTAGAATTCTCCTGATAAAGGTCCGCTGTGTCAGTCCTGGGGTATGTGGCAAACAGATCATGATACTATAATCATCCTTGTATTTGATACAGTGCCTTATCACGTCTTCGAGACGTCTCAAAGTGTAGTGACTGAATATATTGTGGATGAACCACGGCAGCCAAATGCGCACAGCAGTGTCCCACAAACAGTCATGGATTGAAGTGACCAAATTATTAGTATTATTTTTTGAAGGAATTATTACCCCCGGAAAATTGATCCACCGATCGACTAACAACCGGGTTTCTACTCACTGATGGATAAACAGAGGTGTGTGAGTGTGTGTGGAGTAAGGAAACTTGCCCAACATTTCGCTCTGCCCAGGAATCGAACCCAGGTCTCTCACTCTGGCGAGTGCTCTAACCACTGAGCTACAGTACTATTAAAACAGAAACCAAAAGAATAACTTTGTCAAAAAGTTTAGCATAACAACTGGTTTATAATTGTATGATTCTATTATCATTCTATTTACAGAAAATATCACCAGCGTCACCGTAACACAGAACATTCCCAACCCGATAGAATACACTGACACTGTGACACTGACATGTGATGTTAAAGGCACTGTTGAGTCACGGTTGTGGTTTAAGGATGAGAGAGCTCTCCACAGCAATGACAGGATCACAATCTCCCAGGATAATGCCACCCTGACCATCATCAATGTGACTAGAAATGATGGTGGGACGTATCGGTGTGAGGCAAAGAACAGCCTTAGCTCTCAGTCCGGCAGCCACACACTGAGCATTGCGTGTAAGTACTCAGTCACCTCTCAGAATAAGGCTTCAATCTTATGCTTTACGTTCAGTGGTAATAAAGAAGCCGTTCTTGTGTCTGTTGCAGATGGACCAGACACCCCTGAGCTTACAATCACTGGGACACACTCAGCAGAACTTGGAGACTCTCTAACATTGTCTTGTTCTGCTCAGTCAAACCCAGAAGCTCAGTATAAATGGATATTTAATGGCACCGTTCTGTCACACACAACTCCACAGCTCACCATTGATCAAATAAGCCCGACTGACCGTGGGAGGTACACTTGGAGCCCTGTAGCTCAGTAGTTAGAGCTCTCGCCTCGCAAGCGAGAGGAACTGGGTTCGATTCCCGGGCGGGTCAGGGTGGCTCCACGGGGACGTGTTTGGCAACGCAAAGTGGGAATGGAGTCCCCCCTCTGTGACGGTCTCTGGTCCTGTTCCTGAGCCAGGAGGGTCCAGAGAATCCCAGGGCCCTCACTCTCTCCCAGGGCTGATGACGACAACCGAGCCAGACTGACACTCCTCGCCTCCGTTCCCACATTGCTCACTCCTGTCGATCAGCTGAACGTTTGCTCGTGAAAGAAGCCATTGCTCAACGCCCTGAAACCCTGTGGAGTCCTGTAGCTCAGCAGATAGAGCTCTCACCTCGCAAGAGAGAGGAACTGGGTTCGATTCCCGGGCGGATCATTAGGCAGAACACACACACCTTTGATAGCAGCAGTAAGTAGGAAGTCGGTTGTTAGTCGATTGGTGGATCGTTTTTCCGTGGATAATAATGTCTCCAAAAGAAAATAAAAAATTGGTCACTCAATCCACGACTGTTTGTGGGACGTTGCTGTGCGTAATTGGCTGCTGCGTTTTTCCCACAAAATATACAGTAACTACACTTTACAGGGTATTCTGTGAAGCGCTTTGAGACTCTCGAAAATTTGATAAGGCGCTGTATTAAGGATTATTAACGATTATTATGATAACCCATGTGAAGGGCATTGTATGAACATTAACATCTGTTGACTTTCCCCTCCAGATTCTGTTGGTGCTCAGGATCAGAGCGCCACCATCGCAGCCATCACTCTCGGGGTTATATTGTTTGTGATCATCATTCTCCTGATTGCTGTTGTCGTCTACAGACAGTGTGGGCATTCTGCTGGAGATCCCGGTAACTACATCACCTTTATTAGCTGTGACGTACACTGTGTTATACATAATAATCATATGATAATCCTTGCGTGTGGTTTGGTGTAGTGCCTTTCCTGTCTGGACGATGTCTCCGCTGACTTCACAGGATACACAAGTCACTTCATTCCCTCCCACCTCCCGACCCACCTGACCTCCTTACCCCCAATTCACCACCCGCTGCCTCTGATCGGTTGGCTGCGGCCTCCTGTTTGTCACGCGTCCCCTCCGCGGCCCTCAGCCACAACCCCCCAAAACGCGGGAACTCTCTCCCTCAATCCCTCCGCCTCACCCCCTCCCTCTCTCCCCACCTTCCCTCCGCCTTGCCCCCTCCCTCTCTCCCCACCTTCCCTCTGCCTTGCCCCCTCCCTCTCTCCCCACCTTCCCTCTGCCTTACCCCCTCCCTCTCTCCCCACCTTCCCTCTGCCTTACCCCCTCCCTCTCTCCCCACCTTCCCTTTGCCTTGCCCCCTCCCTCTCTCCCCACCTTCCCTCTGCCTTACCCCTCCTCTCTCCCCACCTTCCCTCCGCCTTACCCCCTCCCTCTCTCCCCACCTTCCCTTTGCCTTACCCCCTCCCTCTCTCCCCACCTTCCCTTTGCCTTGCCCCTCCCTCTCTCCCCTCCTTCCCTCTGCCTTGCCCCCTCCCTCTCTCCCCACCTTCCCTTTGCCTTGCCCCCTCCCTCTCTCCCCACCTTCCCTCTGCCTTACCCCTCCCTCTCTCCCCTCCTTCCCTCCGCCTTACCCCCTCCCTCTCTCCCCACCTTCCCTCTGCCTTGCCCCCTCCCTCTCTCCCCACCTAAAGACCTTCCATTTTGATCGTGTTTACAGTCACCCCCCCCACTACCCCCCCCACCCCTGCCCTTGGCTCGTTGTCAGCCTGTGTTGCAATGTGAAACTCTCTGAAACACTCTGGGCACTACCCTGCATGAAAGGCGCTGTGTTGTTGTTGTTGTACAGGTGTACACTCCATTGTAAGCGTATCTCACGGAGTCCTGTAGCTCAGTGGTTAAAGCACTCACTTTGCAAGTGAGAGACCTGAGTTCAATCCCCGGGGGGTCAGTCAGGGCCAAACCTCGGGCAAGTTTCCTTACTCCACACAGAGCCTAATAATAATCCCTCCAAAACCAAAAACAATAATAAATTGGTAATTTTCAATCCACGACTGTTTGGGGGACATTGCTGTGTGCAATTGGCTGCCGTGTTCGCCCACAAATATACAGTCAATTCACTTTACAGTGTGTTCTGTGAAGCGCTTTGGGACGTCCTCTCGACGTGAAAAGCGCTATATCAAATGCAAGGATTATTATTATTATTATTATCTCTGATCAACACACGTCATCTTTTGAGCACAGTTGGTTGAATGGGTTTCTACATAATGGGTAGAAGTGGAGTCCTGTAGCTCAGTGGTTGGGCACTAAACCTGGGTTCGATTCCCAGGTGAGTCAGTTTCCTTACTCCACACACCCGCCTCTGTTTACCAGCAGTGAGGAACCCGGTCGTTACTCGATTGGTGGATCGCTTTTCTGGGGGTAATAATTCCTTCAAAAATAATAATAAATTGGTCGCTCAACCTAAGACTTGTTTGTCAGACGTCGCTGTGTGCAATTGGCTGCTGTGTTTCACCCACAAAATATACAGTTAATTCACTTTATAGTATATCCTGTGAAGCGCTTTGAGACGTCTCGAAGACTCGATAAGGCGCAATATCAAAGCAAGGATTATTATTATATCAAACACAAGGACTATTATTATATCAAACACAAGGACTATTATTATATCAAATACAAGGACTATTATTATATCAAATACAAGGACTATTATTATATCAAATACAAAGACTATTCGAAGTGCTCAGAGGCTCAGAGAGCACAAACGAGATCTCGGTCCTAAGGTGATCCATCTGATGGGGTTTTCCGCTCCCCATTGAGGAAAGAATATCCTCGACCTGGAGAGGCAATGTCAATGGATGATACCGGGTATGAAAAATATATGAACCTGTGATGAGAGGGTAAATTAGATAATGGTGTCATTCTCACAACAGGAATCTCTTCAACACGCAATGAGGCACGAACAATCTACCAGAATGAGTCCATCCATATGGGGAACCAGGTCAGGATAGTTACTAAAACAACCTCTGGTCAACATGGTTCCATCTCACTGTCTGTGGCATGAAGTGAGCAGCTGTTAACTCCCCTGAATCTCGCCAACTGACTCAAATTATTGACTGGATAATCAACTGCCTGAAAATAATTATGTTCTAAAAACTTTATATTTCATGTTCTTACAGGATAATGAGGTCCCAGATCGTCCATATGAGGTGAGACGGTTTATTTCATTCCTTGAGACATAATAATAAATCAGCAATGTCTCACATACAGCCACGAAGTGAAGGACCAATTCTATTTGGGGGATTGTTGGCCAGGAAATGAGGACAGAAAAACTGGCAAAATTACCAACAAAACCTCAATGTGCCCTATTGTCTGTGCTGTACTTTCTATGATTCTGAGCTTTTACTAAGAAAAGGCAATTGAAACAAGTTCTCTCTTGACTTTAACAGAGAATAGGACCACAATCTTCAGAGTACAGCAACCTGACAGGTATGTTTGAGGAATATTCTCCAGAACTCACTGAAGAGAGAAAGTGGTGTATAATTGTTGGTCAAAGCCAAGATTCACAGACAGAAATTCCGTCTTTTGTCACAAAAGTCTCTATTGATTCAAGTCAACATCCATTTCCCAAAGCAAATAGCATCTCCATTCAACCCAACACAAAGCACAGCTCTCTGTGTGTTACGGATGTCTGGTTCAGCTTTGCTCTGTGTGAGATAAACCACTGTGATCAGATCACCGTCCTGTCTCTCCAATCCCTGGGCCCGAGTCCTAACCCCCTTCCTGACGAGAGAGACTGCTTCCTGTTCCACCCGATACATACAACACGACATTTACACACGATGGCACTTCACATCGCGAGGACCTCCCAGGACTCGGGACAGTCAGGGATTTGGGCTCAGGGAGTGGGTGGGGGTTGGGGTAAGGGAGGGTGGGAGGACGGCCCAAAGTCATGGTCGGGTGAAGAAGAGGGACTTGAGACGGGCCATGAAGGAGGCAAGTGAGGGGGTGAGACAGAGGGACTGTGGGATGGAGTTCCAGAAGGTGGGGGCAGAGAGGCTGGAGCCCGACCGTCGATGGTGGGGTGGTCAGCGGAGGATGTGAAGCAGGTCGGAGCCCACTGAGCGGAGGGAGGGGACAGGTTGGTAAGGGGTTAGCAGGGCAGAGGTAGCAAGAGGGAAGGCCATGGAGGGCTTTGAAGGTGAGGATGAGGATGTTGATCTCTGTCCTCTCAGTGATGGGGATCCAGTGGAGCCGGACGAGGGTGGGGGTGATGGGGTCACGGAGCCGTCCGGTCCTGGTCCGGGGGAGGACATGAGCTGCAGAGTTTGGATGACTTGACACCTATTCTTACAGTTGCTGCTCCCAAAGTGTATGAGAACATCAACAATGTGCAAAGAGCAAAGAACAAAGTGAGTAAAACAATTGTTGGAGAGCATTAATGTTCGAGCTTTGATCGCACTGTTTGTCATGTGATGGAAACACTGTTTTCTCTCCTGAAACTCACCAATTAACTTGTACTCCACTGACCCCACCGGCTTCTCCTCCCCCATATTCTATGATTCTATATAATCGAATGCCTGAAATTAATTATATTCCATAATCATTGTGGACCCCAGAGTGTGCGTTGGGGTAACTGCTGGAGGCTAACCAGCTAAACCCACATAGTTTGCCATTGACTCGCTTTCCCGCTGCTTGTCCAGCGAGGACCACCCTCCCCGTTAGTCAGGGCTTTGGCTGCTGTGTTAACAGGAGCTGAGGGGGAGGATTCCCTGCCCCCAGTGACTGGTCTGCCCCAGGTCCTGCTGATGAGCCAGGCCGGGCTGTGCTGTCATCACCGGTTCCCTGGGATACTGTGGACCCTCCTGGCTCAGGAACCGGACCAGAGACCGTCATAGAGGGGGGGCTCGATTCTGACATTCCCTAAGGCCGGAGTCCTGTCCACAGACAATGAGCATTAAATCAGTTTTGATTACTTTGAATTATCTTTAAAAAAAAGGCCTCTGAGATACATAGCAATAATAATCATCATTGCATTTGACACAACACCTTATCACATCGTAGAAAACATCTCAAAATGCTCCACAGAATATACGGTAAAGTGCATTGACAGAATAATCTGTGGGCGAAACGTGGCAGCCCATTGCGTACAGCACCGTCCCCACAAACAGTCGTGGTTTGAAGTGAACAATTGTTTTTATTACCCCCTGAAAGGAGATCCGACAATCGACTAACAACCGGGTTCCTACTTACTGTTCAGTAAACAGAGACGTGTGGAGTGAGGAAACTTGACCAACATTTCTCTCTGCTGGGAATCAAACCCCGGTCTCTCGCTTGCGAGACAAGTGCTCTAACCACTGAGCTTCAGGACTCTACGGTAATGATAATAAAAGCTCATTGCACTATAGAATAGAACCCAACGGCGGCATAAACTGGGGGAGAGTTAAACAGAAGGTTAAGTAAATGGTTATTTACATAGATTTACCTGGACTGTACGGTGTGGAGATGGGCCTTCAGCCCAACGAGTCTGTGCCAGTGTTTATACCCCACAGTAGACACACAATCCTCCCACTTCTCCCTCTGACTCAGGCAGTGCTCCAGATTGTCACCGTTCTCTGGGTGAAGGAGTTCCTCCTATTCTGGTTGACATCCCTTTGGCGCTAATATACACTTGTGTCCGTCTCCTGGTTACAGACTCCCCAACAAGTTGCAGTTGCCTATTTATGCTGACTTTATCAAACCCTTTTATAATTGTAAACACCTCCATTAGGCCCTCTCTTGAGTGATTCTTCTCTGGCAAAAAACAGCCCAACCTCTCCCGTCTGCCCTAATACCAGTAGCCAACCAGCACTGGTACAGTCGTAGTAAACCTTCGCTGTTATCTTTCCATCGCTGGTATATGGACTGTGGAGTCCTGTAGCTCAGCGGTTAGAGTAGGGTTTGATTCCTGGTAGGACTAAATGTTGGGCAAGTTTCCTTCCTCCACACACGCGCCTCTGTTTAACCAGCAGTTAGTAGGAACCCGGCTGTTAGTCGATTGGCAAATTGCTTTTCTGGGGGAAGTAATTCCTTCAAAAAGAAATAAAAAATGTGTCACTCAGTCCAGGCTGTTTGTGGGGACGTCACTGTGCGCAATTGGCTGCTGTGTGTCGCCCACAAAATATACAGTCAATTCACTTTGCAGTATATTCTGTGAAGCGCTTTGAGACGTCTCGATGATGTGATAAGGTGATATATCAAATGCAAGGATTATTTTTGTAGCTCAGTGGTTAGAGCACTCGCCTCGCAAGCCAGAGACCTGAGGTTAGGGCGAGACCACAGCTTCCTCATTCCCACTGCCCTCTGTGTACAGCAGTTCCTCCTCATCTCATTTACCATCTGTCTATGGTCCTGTTGCTCAGTGGTTAGAGCACTTGCTTTGCAAGCGAGAGGACCCGGGTTCGATTCCTGGGCGAGGAGAACATTTTTCCTTACTCCACCTACACACACCCACACACACATTGTTTACCAGCAGTAAGTAGGAACCCGGCTGTTAGTCGATTGGCGGATCGCTTTTCTGGGGTAATAATACCTTTTTTAAAATAATAATTTGGTCCATCAATCCAGACTGTTTGTGGGACGTCGCTGGTGCAATTGGCGCCGTTTTTCGCCCCCAAAATATAGTCAATTGGCTTTACAGTATATTCTGTGAAGCTTTGAGACGTCTCGATGATGCATTGAAATGCATTTGCCATTTAAGTGCCCACTCAGCAAGTTTATTAATGTTTTGCTGTAATGTGTGACCGTCCTCCTCTGGATACTATTCCCCCCGATCTGGTCTCGTCCACAAATATTGAAATTGTCCTTCTGATTCCCGAGTCCAAATCATTAATGTATATTGTGAACAACAGTGGGTCCCAATCCCCATCCTTGTGGAACCCCACTGCCCACCCCTGCCAGTCTGAGCCGCTGCCCTTTACCCCTACTCTCTGCTGTCTGTTTTGCAGCAGATTGCTATCCATTCTGCTATTTTCCCCGACTCCACATACTCTGTGGATGTGTCAGTCCAGTTTCAAACACTGTGCAACAATAAGGTGAACTTACACAGAGCCTTTCACTAAGATACGGTCTCGGAGACCACCAGCACAGACATGACAGAACACAGCAGGGGATGGGGTTAGAGAAGAGAGCTCCAGTGGGGGAGTGAGCCCCAGCACAGACACGATGGGGAGAGAGAGAGAGAGAGAGAGCAGGGAATGGGGTTAGAGGAGAGAGCCCCAGTGGGGGAGTGAGCCCCAGCACAGACACGATGGGGAGAGAGAGAGAGAGAGAGGAGGGAATGGGGTGAGAGGAGAGAGCCCCAGTGGGGGAGAGAGCTCGAGCACAGACACAGACATCGTTCTGTGCTGTAAACACAATCTATGATGATATTGTTGATCAGATGTGAAACACAAAGACAGGTTTCCGTTGCTCTCTGTCCCTTCAGCACAACTCTTCCCATCTCCTGACTGTTTATATTCACTCTGACTTTCTTACTGCAGGAACTCGCTGAGGCCTCTGATCCCAATGCCACCTACACGGTGAGAGATGATTCATATTTCATTGTGTGGGATCCAAACGTCCTCTTGTAGCCTCTGCCCTGAGCCCTGCACCATGTGCCAGTGGCCATGAGGGCAACATACCCTCCTCCAGACCTCTGCCAACCCTCTGCTGAGAGCTGCTGCCCACGGGGTGGGTGGGTGGGTGGGTGGGTGGGGGGCGGTGGTCAGCTGTGTGTCCATGGTGTGTCAGCACCTGTCTCCTCAGTGCAGCTCACTGTGTACGTGCTGCTGACAGTCACCCCGTCACACTCTCTACCCCAGGCTCCCTGATTCCTGTTCCCCCCCAGCGACCTGCCACACCTTGTGACACGAGTGGGGACCTGTAGCTCAGGGGTTGGACCCCTCGCCTCACAAGCGAGAGGAACTGAGTACGATTCCCGGGCGGGTCAGGGAGAAACCTTAGACAGGTTTCCTTGTGTTTTAATGGCGTGATCAGGCGCTGTATGAAATGCTCGGATTACTATTTATTATTATTATTATTTGCACCGCTGACTGTTACACCTGTGACAGTAGTGACATTCTCTTCCTGTCTTCTCTGGCCAGACTTTACAGCCACATGATCAGTCCCTGTACAGTGACCTGAGAGGCAAAATGGTTGGATAACTGTCTGAACAGACGGGGACTGGAGCCGTGAAGTGCTGATGTGCGGCTTATTCAACCCCAACACGGCCGGGATCAGCAAACCATCTCCTCCCCCTCCCGTTCCCAGCACCTTCTCTTTGTGCAGTTGCTGGACTGGAGTCTGGCGGTTTGTATCACCCACAGTTTGTTTCTCTGTGTTCAAGAACTCTGGAGCGTAATTCTCATGTGGTGCTCACATGGTCCCACTCAGTGATATCATCCACAGGTGTGGGGTAAACTCTATCTCTCTGCCTCCACCCTGGACTCCAGGACCCACTGCTGTCCTGACGGATTGTCTGTCCGGCATCAAGTCCTGGATGAGAGCTGAGTTTCTCCAGTTGAACGTCGACAAGACCGAGGCTCTCCTGCTTGGCTCCCGTCAGCACCTCCTGACCTCAGGCGCTGACAGCATCAGTGTCCATGGATGCCCTCTCCCCATCACCGAGCCGTACAGAACCCGGTGTCTTGTTCAACCTCAACTGTCCTTTAAACCCCACATCCGTGCCATGACCCATTCGGCCTTGTCCCACCTCCGCAACACTGCCGCCTCCACCACTCTCTCTCCCTCAGGCTGCTGAGCCCTTATTCACTCAATCATTAAATCCAGGCGTGACTCTCTCACTCCCTTTAACCCCTCCCTCCCTCCATGGCCTCGCTCCTCACTCGCTCTGCACCTGTTAAAGCTTCACCAACATGTCCTCTCCCTCTGCTCTGCACACACTGACCTGCTCCACGGCCCCCGCCCTCTGGATCTGCATCCAGGAGCCCCTCCACCTCAGCCCCTCACCTGCCTCCTTGGCCACCGGCCTCAAGAGCTGCCTTCTCAATCGTGCCTTCCGCTTACACACACACTTACATACACGCTTACACACATGGTTACACACACGCTAACACACATGCTTACACACACATACACTTACACACACACATGCTTACACACACACACTCGCACATGGTTACACACACACACATGCTTACACACACGCTTACATACACACTCTTACACACACACTCGCACTTACACATATGCTTACACACACACACGCTTATACACACACATTCACACACGCACAGACATACACCGCACACACTTACACACACAGAGACATGAGGACACACACACAAATGCAGCAAATGGCCAACATATAATATATCCACAAGTAATTTTTAATAGAGTTAAATATATTATTAAATATAAGTATTATTTTTATATTTTTATGATAGTTTATGAATCGCTCTGAGACGCTGCCCTGTGCGGAGGGCGCTGTGTCAGTGCAAGTTGTTGTTGTTAGGATTATTAATATTATAACATAAGAATTTGCTCAACGAAAGAAGACAAAGGTCCATCCAGTTCAGCTTCCACTATCCCGGCAGTCGCTTGACATGTCGTGTCCCAAACTGTATCCCGTGTGTCTCTCTCTCTGTCTGTGTGTCTCTCTATCTGTCTGTGTGTATCTCTGTGTGTGTGTGTCTTTGTCTGTGTGTGTCTGTATGTGCGTCTTTGTGGGTGTGTGTTTCTGAGTCTGTGTGTGCGTGTTTGTCTGTGTGTGTCTCTATGTGTGTGTGTTTGTGTGTGTGTATCTCTGTCTTTGTGTGTGTGTGTTTCTGAGTCTGTGTGTGTTTGTGTGTGTGTCTCTGTGTGTGTGTGTGTGTGTGTCTCTGTTTGTCTGTGTGTGTGTCTCTGTGTGTGTGTCTGTGTGTGGGTCTATGTACTATATTTCCACATATTAATTCCTCACAGAAATTTATCTTATTTGTTTTTGAAAAAATTAAAATTTTTGCTTCCACCATCTTAATAAAAAATAAAAATCATTGCCTTTGACCGAGTGTCTTATCAGGTCTTTGAGACGTCCCAAAGCGCTTCACAGAACACACTGTAAAGTGAATTGACTGTACGTTTTGTGCGAGAAACGCGACAGCTAATTGCACACAGGAAATTTTTTATAACACCAACAACCTTGTCAGTTGGTATTGTGAAAGCAATTTCCCAGTCAGGAAGTGAATGTCACATCAATAATACATCCACAATAATTGTTGATACAACACATGTCACGTCTCAAAGCGCTTCACGGGATACACCTTAAAGTGTAGAGACTGTGTGTTTTGGGGCTAAACGCGGCAGCCAATCGTGCCCAGCGACGTCCCCACAAACAGCCGTGGGTTGAGATGACCAAATTATTATTATTATTATTAAACAAGCGGCTTCTTACTTACTGCTGTGTGTGTGTATGTGTGGAGTAAGGAAACTTACCCAACGTTTCAGATTGCAAAGCGAGGTGCTAACGCTGACTGGGGGGGGGGGGGGATTGATTGCCACACCCCATTGCCAGTACCTTACCATCAGCTGTGAGGACACTTCCCTCTCCCCCCCACACCTCCTCCAGGGACTAACCCGGTGTTGGAGCAATATTGATTGCTTCACAGAATATACTGTAAAATGTAGTGACTATGTGTTTTGTGGGCGAAACGCGGCAGCCAATTGTGCTCAGTGACGTCACCACAAACAGTCGTGGATTGAAGTGACCGATTCATTTTTGTTTGAAGGAATTATTACTCACGGAAAAGCCAATCGACTACCAACCGGATCCTACTCACTACAAAGCAAACAGTGACGTGTGGAGTAAGGAAACTTGCCCAACGTTTCTCCCTGTCCCACCCGGGAATCGAACCCAGATCCTCTCGTTTGCCGGGCGAGGGGTCTACCCACTGAGCTACAGGATCATCACTATCATGGCTTCTCTGCTGAAAGATCACTGCTGGAGCTTTCTTGGATTCCTTATTTGGTAGATTTATCTGCACTCATTTACACAGTCAGGAAACTGTCTCTCTATCACACACTAAACTCTGTACCCCATCACCCCCACCCGGCCCTCGCCCTCGCCCTCGCCATCGCCCTCGCCAGGTCCCACTGGCTCCCTATCACACACTAAACCCTGTACCCCATCACCCCCGCCCTCGCCCTCGCCCTCGCGCTCGCCAGGCCCCACTGGGTCCCTATCACACACTGTACCCTGTACCCCATCACCCCCGCCCTCGCCAGGCCCCACTGGCTCCCTATCACACACTAAACGCTGTACCCCATCACCCCCGCCCTCGCCAGGCCCCACTGGGTCCTTATCACACACTAAACCCTGTACCCCATCGCCCCCGCCCTCGCCAGGCCCCACTGGGTCCCTATCACACACTAAACCCTGTACCCCATCACCCTCGCCCTCGCCAGGCTCTGTGTTAGGCTGAGGATTCCGTGCATCCGACCTATAATAATAATAATAATCCTCGCATTTGACATAGCGCTTTTCACGTCTTCTCGACGTCTCAAAGCGCTTCACAGAATAGACTGTATCGTGAATTGACCGTATATTTGTGGGCGAAACACGGCAGCCAATTGCACACAGTGGTTCCCACAAACAGTCGTGGATTGAAAATGACCAATTTATTATTGCTTTGTTTTGGAGGGATTATTATCAGGGGTATGGAGTAAGGAAACTTGCCCGAGGTTTCGTCCCCGGCCTGGAATTGAGCTCAGGTCTCTCGCTTACGAGGCGAGTGCTCTAACCACTGAGCTACAGGACATTTCAAAGCACTTGATAGAATATCCTGGAATGCATTGCCTGAAGGGGTGGCGGAAGCCGATTGAGAACAACTGTTAAGCGAGAACTTGATAATTATTTGAGCGAACACCAGCACTGACTCGTGGGGGGAGAGAGAGAGAGAGAGAGAGAGAGCAGGGAATGGGGTTGGAGTTGAAAGTGACAGTGTGGGGGAGCGACCATTGACACGGACACGGTGGGGGGAGAGAGAGAGAGAGAGAGAGATAGAGAGAGAGAGAGAGAGAGAAGAGAGAGCGAGCGAGCAGGGAATGGGGTTGGAGTTGAAAGTGACAGTGTGGGGGAGTGAGCATTGACACGGACACGGTGGGGGAGAGAGAGAGAGAGCAGGGAATGGGGTTAGAGCTCTTACAATACAAGGCTTTTGTGCAAATTAAAATGAGGCAACAGTCTACACTGCAGAATTTGGGGGAATAAAACAAGAGCGCCGGTCAATATTGCAGTGTACAAAGCTATTGGGATTCAGTAATGAGCTACAACATTAAATTCACAATAAGTTCGCTATAAAAATCTTCAACTCGAATCGTCACTTTGAAAATATTGACAAGTCTTGTCTGACGTGATCTTCTCCCCACACACACACACACACACACACAACAACTCAACAACGCACTGAGGCTCAGAGCCAATGAGAAAAGAACATGGAAACTTTTGCTGAATAAAAATGGAACAGCGACCATCTGAAGCAGATAAATGATTTTAAAGATGTCTCAAGACATTTAACTTGATGACGTCTATATTTAGGAGATTTTGATCCCATAAAACATTTTTCTGAAGGCAACGTTTAGCTCATCTTTTTCAAAGCTATTAAAATGAATTAACTAATGACTCAACACACAAGTGTTTCAGTAACTACTGTTCCAAATCTAAATTCATAGCTTCATAACCGGCTTAGGAACTGAAGTATTTTGATTTGGCTGAAAGATGACCTGGAAGAATCTGGAAGAGTTCTTATCTTCTTATGTTCTTAATACACGAACCATATTGATGTTACATTACACATAAAACTAAGAAGAAAATGGCTTATGTTGAAATTGCTCCCAGTTGCTACATATAATGTTATCTCCGGACATCAGGGTTATTTATCAGCATCACATTCATTATTCTGCTGAACATTATATGTTGCATTATATGGAGGAAAATCTTTACAGTGGTTTGTAAGCACAACCCAAAAATAATGATGTAGTTCCTTAGCATAACCCAATCGTGAGATTTGATATACAAAAAACCTGACAACTGCAAATAAGATGAATAATCCTGAAAACTGAAGTCATACCCAGCAATTAACTCCAATCCCTGACCCTCATCTCATTTCTAAGGCAGAGCTCCCTCATGTGTCCTTAAAGAGGCGCTGACATCACTGGCAGCCGTGTGGACCAGTCTGAGGAACTGACAACAAGAATACCTTCTCAACAAAAGCAGAAATTAGCAGCGATGGAGCCTAAAGTGCAGCAATTTTAAAAACAATTCCTTAAATTAGGAATTCTAATTCGGGAGCTCCGGCCGGTAATTGGAAGTATATCAGACTGACCTATAGCTCTGAAAGCACTCCAAGTCACAGGGAGCTCCCACAGATTGCTGTGATGTACATCCGGTTTCCGTAAGGAACACTGCTGCCATCTCTGTCATTTACACCCAA